GCTGTGTATTAACCTGACTTCTGCACAACACAACTGATGGTCCCAACCCCATTGATAAAGCAAGAAATTCCACTAATTAACCCTGATAAGGCACACCTGTGAAGTGGAAACCATTTCAGGTGACTACCTCTTGAAGCTCATGGAGAGAATGCCAAGAGTGTGCAAAGCAGTAATCAGAGCAAAGGGTGGCTATTTTGAAGAAACTAGAATATAAAACGTGTGTGTGTGTGTCTATGGGATAAACCAAGACGGTCAGTTTGCTGTATCAGTGTCACGTGGGGTTGGCGACCACCACGCCCCTTTAGTAGACTAACAGCAGGTCCTGAGTCCATTGACTTCAGTGGGAGAAATTAACGTGATTACAGATTATGGCCGATTCTTTCGCCCCATAGTCACGGAAGCAAATATTGGAACCATTTATCACAAGCCACATATCTTCAGAACATTCCGACACCAAAATGGCAAATTTCAGACGGAAAAATCAGGAGAAAATTTACTTTGTTCAAGACTTGTCTCTGTCTCAACAACACACTCTTGCAAGATCTGGCAACAGATATCTCCTCTCTGGTGCTGAAATCAGTGCAGTTTCACCAAAGATACCGGATTTAAAAAATATTTTTTCCAGTGGATGTCTTAGTTACAACATGACTGAGCTAACTGGAGTAGTTTCATGTCGTATCAGACAACGGGAGGCTTTTAACAGATGACGTCCTGATGTTAGCTTTGCTAACTGTCCCTGTCAGCTGCAGCCACTGATACTTTCTAGACATCGTGATTTCCCAAAACTGAATAAATACCACACATAGCAACACAAAACTGCTTTGCTAGCTCAATCATGTTGTAACTAAGATTTCCGCTGGAAAAAATATTTTATTCACGGACCGTTTATTGAGTTATTACCTTATTTTTATACAGTCTATGGTTATTACAGACACCGCTAATGGCTAACATTAACAGCTAACGGCTAGCCCAGCTAATCTACGATAACCATGTTATTAATTGTTTATAGACTTAACAAACATCAGATTAGTCTACACGGTGATATAGTGATGTGAAAAATGTGATATATAGCTAAACTCTGCTGGTTCTCTTCCCAAAGTATTTGTAAACAACACAGCGGTTCCCTGGGGGCACCGCCGGAAGTGAAGGGTGTGAGCGATCGCTGAGGCCTCTGCACTTCTGTAAGTTGAAAAACTCCGGGCTGTGCCTCCAGAGGTAAAGGAAGGGGAAAAAAATTTTGTTTTGTTTTGTTTTGGTTTTTTTTAACCGATGGATTTCCAGATTGGTGTGTAGCTGAGGCAGCTGACCTGCAGACGGTGAGTGTCATTAACGCTGATGTCTGTGTGATCACATATAATGTCACTCAGTATTACCGGCCTTTTAACCGTACCACAAGTTAGGACTAAAACACACGGGGAGGCGGCATTTAGTTATTATGGCCCCTGATTGTGGAACAGCCTGCCGGAGAGCCTCAGGGCTGCACAGACTATAGATGTTTTTAAAAAGAGGCTCAAGACTCACCTTTTTTATCAGGCTTTTAACTGATCTCTTTATTTATCTATTTTAAATTCCTCTTATAAGCGATTTATCTATCTATTATCTATTTTTTATTTATTTTTTATGTTCTTACCCTTCCTCTTTTTACGTTCTTATCTCATTTAACCTTTATCTTTTGTTATTTTAGTTATAGATTTTAGTTTTGATGCATTTTATGTATCTGTTTTAGATCATTCTTACCTAGCTATTAACTCAATTTTATGAGCTAAATAGCTTTTTGTTTATTTGGTTCTTTTTATACCTTTTATCCTATCTTACTGTTTTAGTCCCTCAGTTTTTAGCTCCAGTGTTTCCTCATGGGGGCCTACCACACTCAGAGTTGTTCCTGGTCTCCCGATGGGGGTGCCATCTATATATATATACATCTTCTTCTCTGGATATGTATCAGATATTAGTATATACTTTCAACATATTGTACCCCAGTAACCAGAACTATAATTATAATATTATTACTTTCATTAATGTTGTTGTAAGCTACTGTCATTACCGTCTGTCCTGCATCTCTCTCTCTCTCTCTCTCTCTCTCTCTCTCTGTCTCATTGTGTCATACGGATTACTGTTAATTTATTATGCTGATCTGTTCTGTATGACATCTATTGCACGTCTGTCCGTCCTGGAAGAGGGATCCCTCCTCAGTTGCTCTTCCTGAGGTTTCTACCGTTTTTTCCCCGTTAAAGGGTTTTTTGGGGAGTTTTTCCTGATCAGCTGTGAGGGTCATAAGGACAGAGGGATGTCGTATGCTGTAAAGCCCTGTGAGACAAATTGTGATTTGTGATATTGGGCTTTATAAATAAAATTGAATTGAACTGATATATACTGTACTTTACTGTGACATTACAGGGGCTAAAGGCTCTGAGCTCGACTGAAAAGAGATCACAAGAAATAAATGATAATAATATCAAATATTAATGTGATTGTTCCTCAGTTTATTCTGGGATCGATGTGTCTGTTAATAACGTGTGAAGTGTCCCAAACAGAGACATTTGATACTCACAGTGTGTGTGTGTGTGTGTTGTTGAATGTGATCACAGTGATGTCACATGTAAATCTATAATGTGATGATCGATGCACGCGGCTCTACCTGTGACAGGTAACCGCCCAGATTCACCGGCAGCACCCGTGTGTTTACCACCACCGAAAAACTGCCTTATTAAAACTAAAGTAATCAGATTACTGCGGCGGTGTCAGTGTGGTTACATCCCCACGTGTCTCTGCTGACCGGAACACCGCTGTTACTCTGAATAAAAAAACTATGAGACGTTTTTAGAGACGAAATGTGAAGAAAACTCGCTGCTCGGTGCTCAAAGTGACTGCGTGTCAGAGAGGTTTGAAGCCTCCTGGAGTTCAACAAACGAGTCCCGGTGTCCAAACATGAGCTCGGTGTGAAGGGAGGGACGTGTTCTCTCTGATACGGTAACACCGGGGCTTTCAAACGGTTCTCTTGGATGAATTTTATCCGCAAACTGCGGAAGAGAAAACACAAAGTGGCGCCGCTTTGCAGCAGGGCGGCGGGGCGGCGGGGAGGGTTGACTCTCCACGGTTCTCATGTGCTTCATAAAGGCCGCCTCAGTCTCAGAGGCTCCTCAGTCACTCACACACAGTTAGACGATTAGAAGACAGACAGACAGACAGACAGTCAGACAGACAGACAGTCAGACAGACAGACAGACAGACAGACAGACAGATGGCCGACCAACCTGCAGCAGCTCCCGCGGGGAAACCTGCCTCCAAGCCCCAGAAGAAGAGAGGGACCCCCCGCACCAAAAGGGACGGACTCTCCATCCCGAAGCTCATCATCACCGTGGTGTCCGAGGCCAAGGACGGGAAGCGGGTGTCTGTGTTCGCCATCAAGAAGGGTCTGGCGAAGAAAGGCGTCGACGTGTTGAAGCACAACAAGCAGATCAACCACGTGCTGCGGAGGCTCGTGCTCAAAGGGTTACTGAAGCAGGTGAAGGGGAAGGGCGCTTCCGGCTCCGTCAAGCTCGTCAAGACCCAGGTCAAAGTCCCCAAACCGAAGAAGAAGAAGAAGAAGGTGGCGGTGAAGAAGAAGAAGACGACTAGCACCAAGGGGTCACCAACCAAGAAACCCAGAAAGAGGTCGCCATCAAAGAAAAGGACACCGGTGAAGAAAGTGGCCAAGAAGAAGGAGACGAAGGCAAAGAGCCCCAAGAAAACCAAGGCCACCAAATCTGCTGCCAGAAAGGTAAAGAAACCTGCTCCCAAGAGAACTCCTGCAAAGAAACCTGCTCCAAAGGAAACAGCAAAGAAACCTGCTCCAAAGGAAACAGCAAAGAAAGGAGGAAAGAAAACTGCAGCAAAGAAAACAGGAGGAAGGAAATCTGCAGGAAAGAAGTAAAGTGGATCTTTAACCCGCACTCAGTGCAACAAAAGGCTCTTTTAAGAGCCACCACATGTTCTACAGAACTTGTTGTTCCTCTGTGACATCATGATATCCACAAATCTCACTCAGAGAGACCATAAATGCTTTTAAATTAATAATGTCAGAATGTTGCGAGACACTTAATAAACACATATATTCATATTATTATACTGTATAATATAATGTCTCCTCCTGCTGCTGTATCAAAGCACAGTCCATCCTCCTGTACTGTTCCACCTGCGTCTTCAACATGTTAGCTGTTAAAACAAGGCCAAACTCACAGCTTCCAGAATAATTGGTCTCCCCACACCAAACCTCACAGATTTAACCAACAGGGCCGTAACACATACTGCATCACCACACATCCACTGAACACCCACCTCACACCTCAGGGAAAAGGCTGATCCCTGCTGTCATGGCCGCCCTGAACAAAAGGCCTCGCTGAACAGGCCAGAGTGTGGACTCTGTTTTGTTTGTCTGTTTCCAAATGTGTGTCTTGTTCTGTTCTGCGGCAGACATTGGGAAATGGTGCTTTGGAAAATAATTTCCTCAACGGGACAATAAAGTCCTGAGGTACTTTTCAATATTTGCTACATTACATTTAAACTGACTGCGTTCTGGAGAGAAATTAAGTAAATATATCATTATCCTCTAACAGAGGAGAGAAATAATCAACTCCACAGAATTCTGTAGAATCCAGATCCTCTTTAGAAATATGCTGTGCATGACTTTTTCAATCAGCGCCTTACATAAAGATATATACATATAAAGACCTTCCTTAAGTAAACGGATGACATGATGAAGTTCACAGAAAATTACATTTCTGGCTGTAAAACAAACATCTGTGCAGATCCATGATCCTACCCTTTGATGTTCCAAAGATTAAAGTTAAAATTCAAAAATATTTTTGGCAAAATTTTAAATGACAAGTGGAATAAAGTGATTATGATTAAATATCAATATTTTAAGTTTTAATTTATTTGTGTGTTTTATTTTTGTTTAAATTCAACAACAACATCTGTTTGTCCAGTTCCTGTGATTAATGGTGTCATTTGGGGGATTTTTTATTTATTTATTCCTTCCAAACCTGCATGTTTTCTTTAAAAGTCGATGGTAAGATAAATATAAAATACAACTGTTTAAATGTGTATGTCCCTCCCCTGAGCAAAACTATAAAAACATGAGTTCCTCCCAAGCACTTAATTAATAGTTAATAATAATTACTAATTTGCCCTCCCTTCCCCGCACTGTACCAACGCTGACCCTCACAAGTAACGAACAGTCCCTCATTGTCGGTTGTCTCGGATGTTGTGTTTTTCTTTGTCAGTAAAATAAGATACCTGACACCACAGAGTATCATCTGACTGATCTATGGGACTGATCAGATATTTTAATCATAAGCAGTGATGCATTCACACTTCCTGTGTAGACAGGAAGTTAGAGTCACTATAGTGTAGTGCTGCTGAAACACAGAAGGTCAAAACTACAAACACGTCTCTCCACAGACTGTAAAAGTGCAGAAGCTCTGTATGAACAGGTTTGACTTTAACTGTCAGCTGCAGGTTGAGATACCATTCAACAACAATGTACAACGTCTCAAAAATCTTAGAGCAGATTATCACCTCAAAAGACGCTGGAAAATAAAAATAAATAAAATTAGGATGACTTGTCTTGCCTGCAGCACTTTGACTCTTTTTTTCATATTACTTTGTTGATTATTTCTACAGGCGTCACAAATTATATAGGACATACAGGCTGTTACTTATACTCACTATTAGTACTGAAATATATTTAAATGATGATTAATTAAAACTGTGTAAATCAGTGAGAGCTTTTTGATTTTTTTTAAAGACACAAACAGCAACCATATTATTGTGACTGTTTCATCAAATTTATTTGATTAAATTATTTCTCTCTCTCTGACTCATCTTCATCTGCTACTAAAATAAAATTCAACTCCATGTAAAGTCCTCAGAAATATCTGTTTATATTATTAGAAAATAATCTGACACATGGAAGTTTTTATTATTTAAAATGTATGATTTTTTAAAAAACAATATGTTTATTTTATATTTTACAAGTTTTTGTATTGTCTGTGTATATCGATATATCTATATGTATATCATGTTGTGTGTGTTAAATCTAGAGGATGAAAAATAATTGTAATGATTTCCTTATTGTTTGTAATTTCATCCTGTAAATAATAATAATAATAAACACTTAACTGCAGCATTCTGACATTTTCTCCTCGTAGTACTTTGTTCCCATCTGTTACATCTACTTTTTATAGGCCCGTTTCCACCGCAGGAACTTCGGGGTAATTTTACGGGGCCAGGGCCGTTGGTGCGTGTCTCCACCGCAGGAACCACCCCCGAAGGACAGAGTTCCGGAACTTTTACAGGGGCTAAACAAGTCCCTGCCTCGGGGTAGGTACTCAGAACGGCCCCGAAAGACTCCTGGCTGGGGCTTGGGGATTACTTGGTGCTGATTGGATATACTCAAGGAGGGATGTGACGTCAACAGAAAGCAACAAAATAGCCGGCATTTTTAAAACTCAGCAGACGAGGGTTAGCTCGTTCATAGCTTCCACCGCCATGTAAAAAAACTCAATAACCGGTACATGAAAAACATATTTTTTCCGGCAGATATCTTAGTTACAACATGATTGAGCTAGCGAAGCAGTTTTGTGTTGCTATGTGTAGTATGTATTCAGTTTTTGGGAAATTGCGATGTCTACAAAGCATCAGTGGCTGCAGCTGACAGGGACAGCTAACAGCTAACAGCAGCAGCAAAGCTAACATCAGGACGTCATCTGTTAAAAGCCTCCCGTTGTCGGATACGACATGAAACTACTCCAGTTAGCTCAGTCATGTTGTAACTAAGACATCCGCTGGAAAAAAATATTTTTTCACGGGCCATTTAGTGAGTTATTACAGACACCGCTAACGGCTAACGGTGTCCCTACGTCGCCCTGGTCAAAATGGTTGCGCAACGATAATGTCACATCCAAAACCCGGTAACTTTACAGGAACCTTCCTCCTACTTCGCTCTCTCAGTGGAGACACGGCAGTTGAGAGGGCCGAGCGGGAGGACGTTCCTGTAGTAGTTCCTGCCCCCCAAATAGTACCAGGAACTTCTTCAGTGGAAACGGGCCTACAGACTCTTAAATATCTCACCTGTGACGTCCTGCCGCGTGTGTGTGCGTGTGTGTGTGTGTGTGTGTGTGTGCTACTTTAGCTTCGTTAGCGCACTGTTTATTATTGTGCTGTGTTTTGTTGATGACTGAAGCCAACTAATTGTGGGACACATCGTCGTCGCTAGCACTTTCCCCCCGCTTCCAGTGTTTGTGCTAAGCTAGGCTAACCACATCCTGGACCTACCTCTGTGCCAAAACATCTGGAGGAAGCAGAGAAGAAGAATTCACTCCATGTTCTTTGAATGAAATGAGTTTGAAGTGTTGTAATTAAGGTAATAATTTAAGTTTAATAAAATCATATAAAGCTGTGACATTGTCAGTGCTCTTTAATATTTGTGAAATTACAACAGACTTCATTCAGACTGTTTTATTTAATGATATTCTATCATGTTGACACTGTGCTGCTGACACAGTAGCCTCTTTTACTGGTGGGACTTTAATGCTGTGATGCCACCTCGCTGTGCTGTATGAAAGGTACAATCCTGGAATGGGGGGACAGAGTTGTCTCTGGAGGCAGTAGGGGTAGAGGTGTCCCAATTCCTTTTTGCGTGTAGGGGTAGAGGGCATAACGAGGGATAGTGGATCTGACTTATATATATATATATATATATATA